TATATATATATATATATATATAATATATATATTATATTTTATATATATATATATATGATATATATTATATAGTGCCGTTATTGGCTTATATAAAATCTCCCTCCGCTATGTCTATCAGTTGGTATTAAATTCTAGCTTTTTTGTCTTATGTTTCATTGACGTCACTGCGTGGTTAGCGCGCAAGATCTTCTGGAACATTCGATTAAGGCTAGACGGCTTCTACCACGTCTTTAACTTCGCTACCTACTATCGCGCTGCTATGACTATGCTTGACACATTAAATTCACCGTCTCCTACTTCTATATCTTTCTGCATCCTTAAATATTCTACCACCATACATTCCTTCTGGCTGTACACTCACTTCGATCTCATTTTATCATTGCTAGACATTGTATCACTGATATACCTTGTATCGAATTCCCTACATTTATTCCCTTTTTATACATTGTATCATCTGCTATTACGTTCTATTGCCTTCTATCACCTTTTTCTACCTTTTAGTCCCTCATTACCTTTCATCACCTTATACAATGTATTTTTTTATTACCTTCTATCGCCTCTTATATATTCTTTCACCACCCATACCTTGTATTACTTTCTGTGCTAAAAGCTCGCTGATATGGTCAGCAGGGATGTGTGTATGCAGGGTATATCGGCTGTAGACCTACTGAGCTGACAGTCAGTCACGGATGGGAATGCAATCGAGAGCTTGCATGATAGGGATCACATGCAACGACGAGTTCTATGGAGCCGCATGCGACACGCTCACATCGCGCGATTTGAAAGACACCCTAACTCGCACGATTGTGTTTCGGAGAACACGGGGCGCGTTGTACAAACATCATTAATGCTACTAGCTGTGACGATCATACGTCGAAAATGTCATAGGTTTTGCACATTGTGCGTGTGTTGGTTTGTACAAGTGGCATGTGCAAAGGTTGTGATATTTTAGACTGATGATAGTCATAATTATTTATGATGTTTGCGATAACGGGCCGGTGAACATTTAAAAGCTGACGTGTGGTCGGTGTTACTTCGCGATAAGTTCGGCTGCACCGTTACTGCACATCCGTGCCGAGTTGTATTTTACACGGGAGATGTTTCCACAAGTAGATTTCCGTTACAATTTGTAACGCTTTTTTACTACAGGTTTTACAGCAGCCACGTTACTCGTATCCTATGTAATAATATTTGTACTAATAAAAGTTGCAAAGATATTAAAAATCCGACCATTATTTTATGGAAAATTTGGTAAAATAGTGATACAAAATAGTGCGCGGATTGTGTGCCCATTTACTACTTTCAAATCATACGCGGCTATTGGATTGCTATTCGCTGGATTAACCCGCAGAGCTCGCCACTGAAAAATAATACCAGCCTTGTGGCAGTGGTATCCTGAGTTGGGGCGCTAGGAAGGGGGCGCTGCATGCAGTTTGCGAATATGTGCCGAGCACTTATCATATGATCTATTACTATAACTATAAACCGATCTGTAAATATCAAAAATATAAATAAATATATATATATATAGAAATATCTATAATGATCACATATAAACGGTTTATATCTAGATCAGTGGTGTAGAGGTGTGTTTTAGCGTGCAGAAGGTCGTTAGATTTTCCCAGCATCCCTACCACGTGATCAGAAGCCGCCTGCTTCCTTGCTGCTCTAGTGATGACAGAAAACGCCCGCCTGCAAAGCATCGCTCGCGCGCTACCCATCCGCGTCCATTTTTGAGTTAGTTCGGGAAGCCATCGGTTACAGTCCGTGCGACATATCGGCAATAAATACGGAATTACCGCTAGTCGCAAATTGTGTTCGAAGAGAGAGCTAACGAATTGCCACAGCTGTTGTAAGAACAACGGTGGGGGTAGGGGTATAGAGAGGCAGGATGGGGTATAGGGACAATAATGGGCGTAGTGTGTTAGAGAAAAGGTTAAGGTATAGAAACAATAGCGGGGTAGGGCTGGTGGTAATGGAAGGTTGGAAGTATAGCAACAATACGTTAGTTTTGGATGGGGATGGGGGTTAGATACATAGGATAAACAGTCTTCTGATACCTCCTGCCGACCTATTTTCTGCCACTGTCCCTGGCAAGAGTGTACAGGCCAACTATTGAGGGAGATTTCTAACCAGCGTGTACTGCTAGGACATACGTGTGAGGTTTGTTTTCGTGTGCGTTTGCGTGCGTGCATGTATGTGAGCTGTGTGTATGTCGGTCGCGCGCCGCGGTATACTGTATATGACTGGATATACCTTCGTTAGTCACGGTGTGAAACCTTCACCCTTATTACTGACGACGTGAGCTACGCTGCACCCATCTTGACGTATGTGTGTCGTGTGTGTGTGCCGGGTGTGTGTGTGTGTGCTTGTGTGGTGGTGTGTGTGTGTGTGCTGTGTGTGTGTGTGTGTGTGTTTGTGAACGGGACCTTTAGATCGCGTGTTTCCCTTTTATTTTGATAGTTTCCACCGGTTAATTTCACTTTACCGAGGAGATTTTGTTCCGGAGCTTCCAGGCTGATTCTAAGTAACGTTTAATCTGATCTACCCAATCCCCATAACATCTATGTTTATTTAGCCCCAAGATGATGAGCGATCACCTGCCTTTCCTCAGCTGTGCAGGCGTGACTCCCACTTCTTGGAGCCTGTCCACATGATGCTTCCTTAGGTGTTTGTATGCCGGGCAAACTACAGGAAATGCTTTAGCGTCTTCTGGTTCCCCTTATTGCACACAGCTGCAATTTTCTTCCCCTAACCATCTCCTGGTAGTTTTATTTACGGGGAGGCATCCCGCTCTACATTGGTACAGCAAGATGCGCGCGTGTGTGTGTGTTTGCGTGCGTGTCTATGCGAGTGTTTTACATACTAACAGCGCGTGTGTGTTGGTGTTTCGCTTTGCAGAAGGGCAATACTGCGCTGCACATCGCGTCACTGGCGGGTCAAGAAGAGATCGTCAAAATCCTGATTCAGAATGGGGCCTCAGTTAATCAGCAATCATCGGTAAGACACAACTACTCTCACTCGCTCTCACGCTTGCCTTGCCTCTCTCCTTCGTGTGCCGTCCATCTCCTATCATCCCCTTACTTCTCACTATCCCTCTATCTTTCTCTCCCTCTCTCTCTCTCTCTCTCTCTCTTTCTCTTTCTCTCTCTCTTTCTCTCTCTCTCTCTCTCTCTTTCTCTCTCTTTCTCTCTCTTTCTCTCTCGCTCTCTCTCTCTCTCGCTGTTTCTCTCTATTGTGCTCTCTCCCCATCCCCCCTAATTCTCTTCCCTCTTCCTCTCCACATCTTCCTCTTACTCCCCTCTATCTTTCTCTCTTTCTCTCTCTCTTTCTCTCTCTCTCTTTCTTTCTCTCCCTCTCTCGCTGTTTCTCTCTATTGTGCTCTCTCCGTCTTCCCTCTAATTCTCTTCCCTCTTTCTCTCACCATCTCTTACTCCCCTCTCTCTTTATCTCTTCTCTCCCCTTCTATCCCTCCTTCTTCCCCGCTAGCAGCAGCAACATAGCAAACACAACCATGAGCGAACCGACGTGCACTTGTCGACTAAAATTAGATTCTCACGAAGCAATGCGGCGGTGTAGCGGAGAGGCGTTTGCGTGCGGGTAAAGCCGGGATCTTGGCAGGCTTTTGGGTTTCACTAGCGACGCGCTACAGGGATCTGTGCAATGCTACGCCCTGCAGAGTTCCGAAGCTTAGTCGCTCTAACGGCCGTATTCACAACCTCACGTGGTCGCACCTCTGAAACAGCAGCAGAAGCAGTGGAGAGGAGAGAAGGGAAGAATGAGGACGGGGTTGGGACGAGGAGATAAATGGGGGAAGAGAGGGCTAGAGGGAGAAAGAGAGAGAAATGGCATTATTAGCAGCAGAAGCAATAGCAGCAGCAACGTCAACACCGCCACCGCCACCGCTACCACCGCTATCACCAACAGCACCACAACCACAACCGCCACCACCAACACCATCACCACCACCGCCACTGCCACCACACCAACGCAAACGTCAACACAAACACAAACACCACCAACACCACCACCACCAACAACAACAACAACAATAACAACAACAATAACAACAACAACAACAACAACAACAACGGCGGTTGCAGTATACAATCATGTTTCTCTCGGATCATATATAGGAACAAATCCTCCTGCAGACCGTGGCGACTCTCTGAAAGCCGCAAGTTCACTGCATACAACACCCAGCGCTGCTGCTGCCACCTACCGACACCCATCCGTCTTTATCAGCTATATACTAAATTTTCCGGGTGTAATAGCGATGCTGGTAAACACGTAGTGGGCTCGCGTGTGCCTGGCGACGCATGGTGATTGTGCGTGGTACGAGTACGTACACACGCGGTTATTACGTGACTAGCTTCTGGCTTCGGTGATGGCTGTCATTTGTCATCGGAAAATTCCTGGGCGATTGGAGAAGCAGCGTGCATGTGGTGATGCATGCCTCCTGGCGAGAGCGAATGCGATCCAGTGTGTAGAGCAACGATGAAATCAATAGGAAATGAGAAATAGCCCGCTGAGAAAATATGCAGTGAGCCGTAGTACCGTTAGATGCAGTTCCTCGTTCTCGGCCTCTCTCTCTCTCTGTCTGTGTCTATTTCATCTCTCTCTGTCCTTCTCTTCCGTTCTCGTTCTTTCTCCCCTCCCCCTCTCACTCAGTATGTGTGTGCGTGTCCGCGCGCGCGTGCGTGCGTGCGTGCGTGCGTGCGTGTGTGTGTGTGTGCGCGCGTGTGCGCGCGTGCGTGCGTGCGTGCGTGCGTGCGTGCGTGCGTGTGTGTGGGTGTGTGTGTGTGTGGGTATGTGTGTGTTGTGTGTGTGCGCGTGTGTGTGTCCATCTCCCCTGCAGGTGCGCAATCTCTCCGGCCTCCTCCGCTATCTTATTATCTTTCCTCCTCCTCTCTCAATCTCTGGCTCTCATTCTCAATCCCTCACTCTCCCTTTACGTGACTGAGCAGAATGCGAAGCTTTAGCAGTAGCAATTGTAGTAGCAGTACGAGTGGCAGCAGTAGCAGCACCACGAGCAGCAGCAGCCGCAGCAGTAGCCCGACGAGGCTGTGCGACTGATTGTCTATACTCTTCTAACCCTCGCAAGACCGTTTCTTGGAGCTACCCCAGCAGCAGCAACAACAACAACAACAGTAGCACCAACATGAGTTGCAGTAACGGCAGCAGCAGCAGCAGCAGCAGCAGCAGCAGCAGCAGCAGCAGCAACAGCAACAGCAGCAACAGCAACAGCAACCACAGTATGAACAGCAACCACCGTATCAACAGCTACAACAACAGCAGCAACATTAGCATCAGCAGGAGTAGCAGACGGATCGATGCAAGCGGTGGCAGCTTTTTACTCATTCTCAGTTGAAGGAGCAACCGCAATTTTTCGCCGATGTTTTATAGCAGGCAGGCCTTGCAACGACGCCGTAATGGCATTTGTTCATTTCTGAGCCGCGTTCGGAATTTTCCCGATCGTTTTTTTTGCCGGATTTTATCCTAGTTTCTCTGTTCTATTCGCAGAATGGATTCACCCCGCTATACATGGCAGCACAGGAGAATCACGACAAAGTGGTAAAAGTACTGCTAGCCGCAAAAGCCAACCAGAGCATCGCTACCGAGGTGATTGCGTGCGTGCGTGCGTGCGTGCGTGCGTGTGTGTGTGCGCGTGCGTGTGTGAATCTCTGTGTCTGTGAGTGCGTTCGTTCTTTCGTGCGTGCGTGTGCGTGCGTATACGTGTGCGCACGCGTATACGTGTATACGTGTGCGTCCGCGTGTACGTGCGTGCACGCGTGTATGTGTGTTTCCGTGTTCGTGCGTGTGTGCATGCTTGTGTTTCTCTGTCTTGCGTGCGTGCGTACATGTGTTTGTGTGAGTGTGTGTGTGTGTGTGTGTGTGTGTGTGTGTCCGTGTGTGCCTCTTCCTTCATAATGTCACAGTGTTCGGGCACAGCTACAGTGACGAGCAATGTGCGCACACGACCACTCCCTATATTTTAATTACACTCCGCGGTGTTGTAGTGCTACGTTAATGGCGGGGGTTCTGAGTCACCGACAGTACTTAATAAGATGTAGGCAAGCAACATCCTATAAGCAGAAATACTGGAGATGGTGGCATGAAGACGTCATGTGGAGGCAGGTTGTTGTGTGCATAGCATATATATATAGATCAAGAGTACATAATAGAGATATTGATATAGGGGAGAGTGGTGCAAAATGGCCCCTCGGGTAATATGGCCCCCCCCTTGAAATCCCAGCTTCCATCTTGTGACAAGCATATAATATATATTTCTACCTCGTCCCAATAGCAGACAATAACAATATGGCGGCGGTGGCTGTACCGCTCATTTCGTGCACAGTCTGAGATTGAACATTTCATTCATGAATAATTTCCCCATAATAGAGATATTGATATAGATATAAGATATTGTGTGTATGAAGGATATCTGTGTGTGCGCGCAAGTGCTGGTGTGCACGTCTTTGATGATATGTGCCTACGACATGTCTATACATTATACATAAATACGTATTTATGTCCGTTTATACAAACACACACATATATATATATATATATATATTTGTTTGCTGTGCGTGCATGCGTGCCTGCCTGCGCGTGTGTGTAAGCAGAGATGCTTTTCCAAGGAGGTTACAGTTGAATGAGCTGTGCTTTTGAGGCAGTCCATCTAAAGTACACAGTCTGTTATATATTACCATTCATGTCATGTTTTATATAACACCCACGTTCTATCTCGCATCTATAGTCAGTGCGACTTTGCAAAGCGATCTAATTTCGGTAAAACAAATAACTGATGCCTTCTCGCATGGAAATTCATGACTACACGCGCGCGCACGCATGCACCCACGCGTGCATCTCCTATCTCTTTCTTACAACGCAGTCGCAGATGTTCTCTGGTTTGTGCGACTTTATAGTACGATTTCACGCCATTGACAAAATATTTCTACTGCGACCACATGTTTCGTCAATGCGTCACCGACATGTTCTCTTGTTTTGCGTGCACGACAACATGGCTTCCCTCTACCACCACACCTTTTCTCAACGTGCCACTAACGTTCTCTTGTTTTGCTTGCACTCGCGCGCCGCAGGACGGATTCACTCCGCTCGCCGTCGCGCTGCAGCAGGGTCACGAAAAGGTCGTCACCGTGCTGCTCGAGAACGACACGCGGGGCAAGGTGCGTCTGCCCGCGCTGCACATCGCCGCGAAGAAGGACGACTGCAAGGCGGCGGCGCTGCTCCTGCAGAGCGAACATGAGCCGGACGTGACGTCGAAGTCGGGCTTCACGCCGCTGCACATCGCCGCTCACTACGGCAACACGAACGTCGCCACGCTGCTGATATCTCGCGGCGCCAACATCAACTACTGCGCACGGGTACGCGAGGGCCGGACAGGGGCACAGGCACGATCGGGTTGGGGTAGGGAGTCAGGGTGGGGGCTGGGGTGGGAGCTAGTGTGGGGGTAGGGAGTCAGGTCGAGGGACGGGGAAGGGGCAGGATGGTGGGGGTAGGGGTCAGCGTTGAGGGACGGGCAGGGGGGGTAGATGAGACGGGCAAGGCATGGGGTGGGGTAGGTGAGTCGATTGAGAAGGGCGGGCAGGTGCAGGGATGGGGTGGGTGGTAGGGAGTCAGATCGAGGACGGGGAAGGGCAGGATGGGGTGGGGTAAGGAGTCAGGGTGGGGGCTGGGGTGGGAGCTCATTGGGGGTAGGGAGTCAGATCGCAGGGACAGGGAGAGGGGCAGGCATGGGGTTGGCTAGGGAGTCAGGGTGGGGGTGGGGTGGGAGCTAGTGTGGGGGTAGGGAGTTAGATTGAGGGACGGGGGCAGGGCAGGATGGGGGGGGGGTAGGGAGTCAGATTGAGGGACGGGGAAGGGGCAGGATGGGGTGGGGTAGGGCAGTCGCAGATTGAGGGACGGGAAGGGGCAGGACGGGGTGGGGTAGGGAGTGCGATCGATGGAGGACGGGGCAGGGGCAGGATGGGGGGGGGGGTAAAGAAGTGGGAGCCAGGGTGAGGGTAGGGGTAGGCGTGGGTAGGGAGTGGGAGCCAGGTGAGGGTAGGGGGTCAGGGTGAGGTTTGGGGTGGGGATCAGGGTGGGGGTTGGGATGGGACTAGTGTGGGGTAGGGAGTGGGAGCTAGGTGGGGTAGGCAATTAGATCCAGGGTGGGGTTGGGGTGGAGCTAGGGGGGGGTAGGACTGGGGCCAAGGTGGGGTGCGTGGGAGGCCAAGGGATGGGCCAAGGGCAGGACGGGGTGGGGGTAGGGAGTCAGATCGAGGGACAGGGGCAGCAGCATGACGGGGTGGGAGTAGGCAGTGGGAACAAGGGTGAGGGCAGGGAGTGGGTGGGGGTGAGGAGGGGTGAAATATAGGTATTGATGGGGTGGCGGGCAGTGATGCTTGTGGGTTGGTGCAGAAGCTAAGGCGAGGGCGGAACCAGAATGAGGTTAAGGATGAGTAGCCGCAATGCCAGCATTAACTAATGGTCTGTCATAAAAAATAACAGGCGCTTTGTAATAATCTTCTAAAGTTTTATTAAAAGAGTCATAATCCACAGCTACAGACTGCTATGTCCTGCAAACATTTATCTGCTGACATGTAACAGTTACTACAGTCACGTAGTATATGTATATTATATGCTGTTATGCCAGCCAACTGTAAGGGTTTCTCTGTGTTTCAGCATGGCATTACACCGCTTCACGTGTCGGCGAAGTGGGGCCGCGTTAACATGGTCACGCTGCTACTGGGCCGTGGGGCTGCCATCGACAGCACAACCCGGGTAAGCATGCCTGTCTCACAATGCTGTTTCACCATGTTGATCCCTGCCTCATGTTACTGTGTCACCATGTTGATCCCTGCCTCATGATGCTGTCTCCCGTGCTGATCCCTGCCTCAAGATGCTGCCTCATCACAGTTGCCTTCTGATGGGTAGATGTTGAATGTGGCATGGTGGTGGGCGATATGGCTTTAGATTGAGAGAAAGGGAAAAGCAGATATAAAGCTAAAGTTAAAATTTAGCAACAGCAAAATATGACGTTCATCTACCTTAATTACTATACAATGGATCCAAAGTATCAAATGGTAGGTGGCTGCATGCTAGTAAGTAATGGGTCAGTTGAAATTCTGCAAAGACGGTTGGGAACTGAATTGATAAATGGCCCATAATAGTGAACAACAGTATTGAAGAATCAATATCATGTAAAGTGGTGTTGGCTGGCACGTATAAACCAGCTGCTATGAGTGGTACAAATCGACCCCCGGTTTGACAATGATGGATGCCATTTTAGAGTTAATATTTTATAAAATGTCCCACGGTGCACATATAAAATGTCTACTGGGCAATCAGAGATGCAACGACTCGTGCAAAACGACCCTCTGGTTGGCAGTGATGCCCGCCATGTTTGAGTCGATGTTATACACGAACTGTGTTTGAGTTATGTTATAAACGGCATGATGCACTCGCATTTCAATAGATACTATAAACGATTATGGACATTACGTTTGATTCAATGTTATGCAATAATGGATCTGCCATGTTTGAGTGGATAATTTAAACAGTGGCGGTGGACGCTATATGTCTGAGTTGACGCTAGGCACGTTGTTGGACACCATGTTTGAGTGCACACGCACGCATCACCACTAATGGTGTATGTGTTCTGTACAGGATGGCCTGACGCCACTACACTGCGCGGCACGCAGCGGCCATTACCAGGTGGTCGACGTCATAGTGGAGCATGGAGCGCCAATCTCCGCGCAGACGAAGAATGGGCTGACACCGCTGCACATGGCAGCCCAGGGCGACCACGTGGAGGCGGCCCGTGTGCTGCTGGCACACCGCGCGCCCGTCGACGACCGAACCGTGGTACGTATCATGCGCGTGCTGCCCTCCCCTAACCCCGAACGCACATCGAACCCTGAGTGGTCTTATATAGCAGGGAGATATCGAGTGTTGCTGTGGCTGTCATCCAGGGTACAAATGATCTTAAATGAGAATTATCAGATGAAACGAGAAGTAAATGATGTAAACGTGGTAATAATAGAAGGGGTGAGTGATCTAGAATTAATTATCTCATTTGAGATTATTTATCTCTCATCGTTCTTTTATCGGAAAATTCTCATTTATGATTATTTACCTCTTTTTACACACCCTTGAAATTATACACCCCTGATTTAATTAGGTTTCGAGCACTATGGCTAAAGCACCAGTGTGAATGTTTCCTCCAAAGAAGGATTTTAGAAGCAGCTTGCTTTTAGCAATAATTTTACAGTAAAACAATGAGCGAGATATCCATGTAGGCCTACTATTTATGTGATTGGCATGGTAGCAATCCAGGTATAGAGCAGCCATTGCTGTTTATTACCATGAATGTCAGTCAATTTTTCGGGGGTGCCTCAACAAAATATTTCATGACACTTTCTGTCAGTGTTATGGTTGAGATAAAATTTAGCCATGTGCAGCGTAATCCCTGTATTAATAACCGTACTACTATTACCACTACATTAATAACAGTATTAACCTGCGATAATACTACTCTGTAATAATGCTTGCCACTTTTTTGTCGAAGCTTAATTCCCTAATTCCCCCATGAGTCGACGTGCCGTACGTCGATCTATGAGCCTATAATTGTGATGGATGTTTTTTTAACGATGGCTCGGGTGGTCGAAGGTGTAGGAAATCGCCGGTAATGGCGTGCGCGCAATCGAAACAGGAAGACGTTTTGTTGAGCCTGGCCACCTTCCCCGTGTGTGACCTCCGATCGACAGATCACAATCACCTGGATCTATGCAAGGTCGTTACTCGGACAGCCATTATGGCCGCCTGTGACAGATGATTTCCCCACTATCCCTGTGTCAGTACTTTCTGAGTTGCATCTTGCGGTGTCACACTTGGGTCGACGCTAAGGTCGTCCAAAGATCACCAGTCTGATGCTCCCTTACTCCTCTCCCATGCAGGACCTCATGAAAGCACTGTGCATTACTGCTCACTACAACCATACTATTGTTGGATAACTGCTGCTCGCTGACCTTTGCTGACCTTCACTGACCCTCACAGACCTCTTTCTCTCGCTCTCTCTCTTTCTTCTGACAGGACATCTTGATGGCACGGCACATTGCGGCATATGACCGTCCGACAAGTGTTCCAGTAAGCTTTGCTGACCCTCACTGACCCTCGGACTGACTCTTAGTGACCCTCACTGACTTCTCTCTTGCTCTCATATCTGCAGGACTTCCTGACCGCGCTGCGCACATCGCAGCATACTACAGTCACGTCAAAGTCACCAAGCTGCTGCTTCCTTACTTCTAGTGACCCTTACTGACCTTCACTTACCCCCTGCTGACCTCTCTCTTCCTGCAGGACTTCCTAACTGCGCTGCACATCGCAGCGCACTACGGCCACGTCAAGGTTGCCAAGCTGCTGCTGGAGTGGAAGTGCGAGGTGAACGCGCGCGCTCTGAATGGCTTCACGCCGCTGCACATTGCCTGCAAGAAGAACCGCATCAAGGTCGTAGAACTGCTGCTGAAATACGGCGCGTCAATCGAGGCGCAGACCGAGGTGAGCGGACGCTCTCTTGTTCCCACGCGCGAGCAGAGTGTCGCGTCGGCGACAGCCATCCCGGAAAATTTCCGTCGGGAGATTTTCGTTCTGGGGATTAACTAGGCCGATTTTTTTAACTAGTACTCGTGATCGGAGGTTAGGATAATGGTAAAAGCATTGTGAGTTCCTTCGTAGGCTTTACGCAGAAACCGTAGCATTTCAGAATGTTATTTAGAAGTGAATCGCCTGAAAGGAAAGTGGGGGTGACGTGGTGAGAAAGCTTCTTCGCCAAAGCTGTGGCGCTTATCGAAAAATCGAAGGCTGAATTAGTTCGTATTGAATTCACTCAAAGTTTGTGAAATATTTACCAGGAAATTTCTCTGAAAAAATGGCACTTTATCAGCAAAATAAATTGCCGAATTCGTTCGCATCGACTTTGTTGAAATTTACGACATTATCAACGACAACTTGGGTTTTACCTAATAGTGCAGGTTTATTGTTGATGTGTGTTTGTGATGTGTTAATTGTTTTATGTGGCCTTGCAGTCCGGTCTGACGCCCCTGCACGTGGCATCGTTCATGGGATGCATGAACATAGTGCTGTACCTGCTGCAAAAGGGCAGCTCGCCGGACACGCCGACGATGCGTGGTGAGACCGCGCTCCACCTAGCTGCGCGAGCCAACCAGACCGATATCATCCGCATACTGCTACGCAACGGGGCCAACGTCGATGCCCATGCTAGGGTGAGTGACACTGTCTACCTCTCCCCAGCAGCTACCCTACTGATATTCTTCCTTCCTATTCTTTGCGTCCAATATCACACTCTGAAGACTGATCTCATTGGCATGACCTCTAGTTAGCACTCATTGTATTTTACCATCAGAACATGATGGACATTCTGACCGTGGTAGCTGCTGGTTTGGTTGCAGAGATGTGTGCTCTCGTTGTCAACCTCAGTAATTGTCATATTTGTCAAACATTGCTCAATCGATCGCCAAACATTTTAATCCTGGTAGCTATCGACCTGTTTTGCCGAGGGCTGTCATGCTCGTCACCTCTACTCATTGTCACACATGGCAAACAATGTCGATCATTTGTCACACGCTGGCAACCGCTGCTCAGCAGATTCGCACCGTCATGGCCGCCGCCGAAAAGGTTGCACGCGTGCTGACCCCTGTGACCTTTCTGTCGCCTTCCAGGAGAACCAGACGCCACTTCACGTTGCGGCTCGGCTCGGCAACTCGGACATCGTGATGCTGCTGCTGCAGCATGGCGCGTCCGTGGATGCGGTCACCAACGACAACTACACGGCCCTGCACATCGCAGCCAAGGAAGGTCAGGAGGAGGTTGCCTCCATCCTGCTGGACCAGGGAGCGAACATAGCTCTTCACACTAAGGTAGGCAGTGTAGCTCTTCACACTAAGGTAGGCAGTGTAGCTCTTTACACTAAGGTAAACTGTGTAGCTCTTCACACTAAGGTAAGCGGTGTAGCTCTTCACACTAAGGTAAGCGGTGTAGCTCTTCACACTAAGGTAGGTTAAGAGATATTTCTTCACACTAAGGTAGGTTAAGAGATATTTCTTCACACTAAGGTAGCTTGAGAGATATCTGTTCAGACTAAGATATATATATATATATATATATATATATATGAGCAATATAGAAATGTAAAAAACATTGTGAAAGTACATCTCTCAACCTGTTATATATATATATATATAATATTTTATTCTATATGCTTTGCAAATGTTTACGTAAAGTGTGAGAGTACTTAACATGATTACGTACAAGAGTGTAGACTTCTTAACATCCAAGCAAGAAACTAACGTACTTGTCCAGCGCGAATACATACGCCGTCCTAATTGTTAATCAGGGGATCGATCGCACAACGGAAGATGGCGCTGACTTTGGTCGTTCTCTCATTGCAGAAGGGCTTCACACCACTCCACCTGGCGGCCAAGTATGGCAACATGAAGGTTGCCAAGCTGCTAATCCAGCGTGACGCACCGATCGATGCCGAGGGCATGAATGGAGTCACGCCCCTCCACGTAGCCGCCCACTACGACCATATTAACGTCGCCCTACTGCTGCTAGAGAGCGGGGCTTCCCCACACACTGCTGCTAAGGTGAGCAGGCGAGAGAGGGGAGGTGGAGAAGGGAAATGGGAGGAGAGGACGTGAGGGGAGTCACCGCATTACACGTAGCCGTACATTGCTGCTAATAAGTATAAGATGGAAGAATCAGTCGCTGTAACATGTATTTGGGGCCGTTTTTTGCTGGACTGTGCCTCGCTTCTACATGCACTCTTTCCTTTTCCTTTTCTCTTCTTCTCTCCGCGGAATGTCTACACACTGCTGCACATCATGTATGTAAGAATGTGTCAGACTATGCTTTCCCACTGTACCCCTCTCGTTACTTCTCTCTTTCTCTTCCACGCCCTGCAGAGTGGCAACATACCACTGCCAACCGTGTGTATGTAGGGATGTTTTTGTTGAATTTAGTCTTCTCTGTTGTTCACTCTCATCACACTCATTCCGCGGAACGGTTACACCCCACTGCATATCAATTGTATCTGGGAATATTTTTCGTTGAGCTCTGTCTTTCCTCTCCTACCTATTTTACGTTGTTCCTCTTCCCGTAGAAGGACTACACCCCACTGCACATTGTGTGTGTGTAGGCAGTGTGCCTTCCCTCAAAACTCTTCCAACCTATCCTTTCTCTTCCTCTGCCTGAAAGCCGGGCTTAGGTCGGCCTTGCGACGCGACGCGATTGCCTTGCGACTGATTTTCTGCAACTGGTTGCAAGTCGCAGCGACGATCGCGGCGCAGAGAAAGTTTGACCTAACCGTGAGACTGCCAGCGACGGGTCAGCGACGCTCAGCGACTGGAAAATTTTCAGTCACAGCGAGTTGCACATGTTCTACTTTCGTGACGCGACACGACTAGTTCCACCAGTCGCAAGCACTGTTTTTCATGGCTACTACCTGACATAAGCTGCCTTGCCATCGCAGCGACGAGATTCGTATGCATAATGAACAATGCATGCAAATAAAACAATCCGTGCATACATGCAGTCATATACACAACATGCACACAGCAACAAATCATGTAAACTCATTTAGTTGCGCGATCTATAGGTGATCGTCGCTTCGACCTAAGCGCCTTCTGCGACTGGCTGCGACTGGGCGCAGGCAGTCGCTGTCAGTCGCGTCACCGTCGACCTAAGCACTGCAGTCGCAGTGAGTTGCAGTGCGTCGCGTCGCGTCGCATTCAATCGCAACCCGACCTAAGCCCTAATTCACATTTCGTGCGTAGGGATGTGATGGAGTGTGCCTTCCCTCAACACTCTCCCAACCTATCTTTTCTCTTCCTTTGCCCTAAGAACGAGTACCCCCCAATTCACATTGCGTGTGTAGGGATGTGGTGGAGTGTGCCTTCCCTCAATACTCTCCCAACTTATCTTTTCTCTTCCTTTGCCCTAAGAACGAGTACCCCCCCCCCAATTCACATTGCGTGTGTAGGGATGTGGTGGAGTGTGCCTCCTCTCGACACTCTCCTTACTTCTCTCTTTTCATTCCTCTCCCCCACAGAACGGTTACACGCCATTGCACATCGCTGCCAAGAAGAATCAGATGGACATCGCAACAACACTGCTGGAGTATGGAGGCAAGCCGAACGCGGAGTCGAAGGCTGGCTACACGCCACTGCACCTCACCTCACAGGAGGGACACAGCGAGATGGCTTCACTGCTGCTTGAGAACGGCGCAGAGGTCAACTGTCAGGCAAAGGTCAGTGAGGTCACGCGCGTGCGAGCGGGCAACTTGTTTTATGCGGGGATCACACACGCGAGCGTGTGCGTGTCCTGCGTTCGGGTGCTGTGACGTCAGTAGCGACGTTTTTTGCTGTATTTTACGTGTTTGTATACTGCATCCCGCGAGCAAGCAATCGCTTGTCCTGCGTGGGTGCGTCACGTCGTCAGCGGTGACGTTGACATGTTTGTTTGTTGGCAGTGATGTTTTTTAAGGGGGGAGGGTAAAGGGAGCTGTAATCGTTTGTTTTCTGAGACGTGAGGTTTTTTTTTTGTCAGCCGCGGGAACATGTTGACCTTGCTTTTGTTTGTGCTTGCATTTGTTCATGATGTCTGACACGCACGCGGAACATACCGCTCACAGTGTGCAACATTGTTTGTTCGTAGTTTGTTTGTTTGTTTGTTTGTGCGCGGGTGTGTGGTTTTAGTTTATCAGTATTATTAGTCACGGCAACCGTTGCCACAGTAACGCCCTCTGATTCCGCTTGCAGAACGGGCTCACACCAAAGCACCTGTGCGCGCAGGATTTTCGCGTGCCTGTCGTCACGGCAACTGTTGCCAGGGTAACACTCTCTGTTTCCGCTTGCAGAACGGGCTGACGCCGATGCACCTGTGTGCTCAGGAGGACAAAGTTCCCGTCGCGGCTATCCTGGTGAAGCACGGTGCAGCGATCGACCCGCAGACGAAGGCCGGCTACACACCACTACACGTTGCCTCGCACTTCGGCCAGATCAACATGATACGGTTTCTGTTACAACACGGTGCCTCGGTGGATTCGAAGACGGAGGTGGGTGCGGGAAGGGCATGGGGGTTGGAGGCCGATATGGGGGAGGGAGGGGAGGAGGTTGTGAGGATGGTGCGGAAAGAGGGTGGGAGGTGGGTGTCGGGGTGGGAGGACTAGGTGGGAGCCGGTGCAGGAGAGGGGAGGGGGAGTGGGAGGCGGGTATGGGAGAAGGGAGGAAGGATGGGAAGCGGGTGCAGAAGAGGAGAAGCGAAGTGAGAAATTGGAGGGTTGGCGGAAGGATGTCAAGGATGTGTGAATGGGAGTGAAGGGGTGAGGGTGGGAGGGGCAGGTGATTAAGAGATGGGGAAATGAGTAGGATAAGGAAGAGGCGAGGGTGGCAAGAAATAGGTGTGTAAGGGAGGAAGGATGTAAGGGAGGGAGAATGAGAGTAAGCGAGGGCGGGTAATAGAAGGTGAGGGTGGAATAAAAGAGGTGATGCTTGCAGGAAAGAAGTGATTGAGGGAGGGAGGGAGGGAGGGAGGGAGGGAGGGAGGAAGAAGGTAAGAATGCGATAACGGGGGTGAGTGAGGGAAGACTGGGAATAACAATTGATGCAGGTCGGACGAGAAAAGCAACAGAAAAGGGTGGAAAACGGGGGAGAGTGGGAGACTTTATTAACCGCGCAATTTCTCTAATTAATTTTCCGGAAGATTAATAATGGTACACTTCCGTAAGTCAACTCGTATAATTTGCAGGCGGGCATGAGTCGACTCACGAAATAGCTTTCATGGCAAAATAATTGAAGACGGGCGAGCGAGTGCACACGAGCCGTCGTTACACGCGCCGGCAATAGAATTCTTTTGTCGGCGAACTTTCGTCGTAAACCTTTGTAATTTGCGTGGGCCACCTTGGCCGTCTGGCTAGCAGTCACGCTCATATCTCGCCAACCGTCGTCTGGCGCCGACATATTGACGTATCCGCCATGTTTTTGTCACGAGTCGCAGCTGTTTGCTGTTGCGGATAAGATGCGAAGCGAGAAATCCTGACTTTAGTGAGATTACCTGCACTGGCTTCACGAGGGATTACTCTCACGACTCAAGGGGGGTTTTCATGTTTTCTCTCGTTTTCTGTCTCTTGCAGATGGGGTACACCCCGCTCCACCAGGCAGCCCAGCAAGGCCACACTCTTGTCATCAACCTACTGTTGCAACACAAGGCATCACCTAACGCACTCACAGATGTAAGTTTTTCGGCGCAATGGTGTATTATGTTAGTCACGTAGCGAGGCGTGGATCGGAGATGAGACGGGGCTGCGTGGCCATGTTGGAAATCTAGGTTATCGCTTAAGATGTTAAGCTTTAAGGTGTTCGGTCGGGTGCTAATTGCGTACGAGAAAATGTGTACGTACTTGTTTGCTACATGTATAGGGTAGTTTCAATAATACACATATATTTCTATTCGCGCGAGTCTAGGTCTAGTCTATTTTCGGTGGTGCATTAACTGCATGAACCAACCAGGGTACCATTTGCTGGCCAAAAAAATATGCTATCATATACGCGGGCGAGTTAATGACGTTAGGGAGAAATGTCCGTTTATATGCGGTATGTAGTTATAGTTGCATTACATAATGGCTGTCTGATATGAATATAGAATCGGTGGAATTTTTAATAAAAGCACGCAGGGGAAGTGGAATGGGTGGGGATTCGCGGAAGTCACGAGTTCCTAGCTCGATCGAATGTAACATTAAAGCAGGGAGCTGTTTTCTAAACGTTAGGATGTAGGAGGCAGAAAACATCGTAAAATAATTATGACTGCAGCGGATCTTAAATGTCATGACCTTTGCATGTTTGTACTTTCGACTTTTTACTCTTTGCGTTTACTTTTACTTTAAGTCTTGCGCAAAGGTTATGGCATATTACGGTCGTGATTACGTTTATGATGTTTTTGCCAAATCTCGCGAACCTTATTTTACCTGCTAGAAATTTTCTCGATATTATGAAATCTAACCGTCCGACGCGAGACAGTGCATTGATTTTCGTCTGTCAGATGCCGTTTGTGTTTTCAGCCTGAGGTGGCTGCGTATACCGTGTCTAGACGCGCGCGCGTGCGTGTGTGCGTGCGTGCGTGCGTGTGTGTGTGCGCGTGCACGCGTGAGTGCGTGCGTGCGTGCGCGTGTGCCTGCGTGCGTGCGTGCGTGTGTGTGCTATGCTTGTGTGTGAGCGCGCGCGCGCGTGTGGTTGCGTGCGTCTACGTGTGTGCTTTGCGTGTGTGAGTGTTCGCGCGTGCGCGTGTGTCTATGTGTGCGCGATCGTGTGGGTGCGTGCGTGTGTGTGTGTGTGCGCCCCTCGCACGCAGTCTAGACATCTCCTGTGACGCTCGCACAAGGCTGTTATTAATAGATGGCCGTCCTCGTCGCTTAGGGTCTTCGTGTTTACTTGCTCTCACGATCAATGTAAAATTGACGAAAGTTGAAAGCTGCGTGCAATCTCTGTTGGTTCACGAGAAACGTGGCCCAAGTTATGTGACAGTTGTCATCAATATTGTAAGTGTCAGTGATTACCTGCCACCTGCTACCATGTTATATTATAATCAGGAGTCTATCAATATATATTGATAGACTCCTGATTATATCGATATTGATGTAGCTAACAGCAGTATTGCTCTACAAACTCCAACTTGTCTCTCGTTTTCCTCTCACTGCCATCCTGTTCTCGTATAATGCTTGAATAGCAAGTCTGTTATCGTCAGCTATCATACACAGCACACACGCACGAACGCACGCACGCACGCGCACACACACACACACACACACACACACACACACACACACCCACACACACACACACACACACACACACACACACACACACACACACACACACACACACACACACACACACACACACACAACACGCACACGCACACGCACACCACACACACACCACAACCACACACACGCCCACGCACACGCACACGCACACGCACCACGCACACGCACACGCGCACGCGCACACGCACACAGCACACACACACACACACACCACACACACACACAAACACACCACCTCTGTTCTCCTAAGAGGCAGCTATATATATATATATATAATATATATATATATATATATATGCATTTAACCACCTCTATAGAATGGCCACTTTTATAATAAAAAAAACCTTCAGCGTTTTATGAATGACCCTTAATTAAAATTTAAATAATGTATGAATGCAATTTCCACATAACACTGTGTAAAAAAGTCCAGTTTAACTGCCTCAATCCACACCATTACATGTTAGAGAGAACGGATTGCAAACGATACAAGACTATGCGTTTGCAAGACTGCGCATGGATTTTCTATGTCTCACAGGCATGACGATACATCTACTTATTTCTCTCATGTTTGTCTCTGCTCACAGAATGGACAGTCAGCGATATCGATAGCTCAACGTCTTGGCTACATCTCAGTGGTAGAAACGCTGAAGGTTGTAACAGAGACCACGATCATCACCACTACGACGACGACCACCGAAGAGAAATATCAGATGGTCTCTCCAGAGACCATGCAGGAGACATTCCTGTCAGACACCGAGGACGAAGGAGGTACGGCAGCGCGAAGCAGAGAGGAGGTCATAGGCTTCCCCTTCCGCACACCGCACAAGCTCTCTCGAATTTTGTTATTCCCGTTTGTCAATTTCGGAAGTGAATTTTCACTCCTCTCTACCTCCGCATCCTCATTTTTCACTCCTCTTTCTCCTCCTCCCCTCCACTTTCTCCTTCTCCTCCTCCTCTTTCTCTTCCTTCTCCTCCTTCTTCTCCTTCATCGCCTTCTTCCTTTTCTTCTTAGTTTTTTCATGCTTTACATCTTTGTTGTTGTTTTCTTCTTTTTCGTCACCGTATTCTTCGTCTTGCTGTTATTAAAGGAAGAGTACTTGACACAATGTGTAGGAACCTGCGTTGGGTAGAGCAGACCATTATCTCATTTTCTAAGCTTATTTCAATTCTTAATGTTACCACAGCTTCTAGCTATTATTTCTAGCAGCCCGTTTTTCTTCCACTTTGTGTTCTGCAGTTTTCTTTTATTCGTACGCCTTTCTTTTACCGTTCCTTTCTTTTTGCCGTCTATGACGCTGTAGAGGATATAGAGTACTTGGATAAGTATGGAAGACCCATCTCACAGACGCGTAGCGTCTTGCTACCGTACATTGAGGACGGTACATTGATACTGGACATGCCCATGTATGGTAGGTGGCCGTCACAGGCTGCTGCATGGAGTGTGTCTGGCATCCGCTTTGCTTCCGTCTAGACTTTAACAAACGCATTACAGGTCCTCCTGAGAGACGTTTTACCCCTGGAGATTCGACTGTGTTTTGTCTATCTACTGTAACTTTTATTCTCCAATGGTTATTAACTCCCAATTTCGTGCGCACGCTAACCTAAGCAGCTATATCGACGGAAGGCAGGTGTAGTGTCCATACGCGTGCGGGGGAGCCCAGAGGTCGTTACAAAGTTGGCGGGCAAGTTAACGAGCAAATGCGGCCATGTTTTATGCCTGTGCTAATATTACTCTGGCGAAACAGGGGTTCGCTGGCAACGCAAGCGAATGCATTACTAATATATATACCAACAATCATCAACAATTCATTATACAGTTTAGTTCATCATTTAATTTAGTTAACCAGTTAATGTTAAGCAGTGGTACAAAAAATTAATTGACCTGCGAGAAACAGAAGCGAGAGCATGCGTTCGGCTGGCAAGAATTTTCCTAAGAATTATGACATTCACTGTTAGACTACACTAACCCTATCAGAGTTGCCATTTTACTAATAGCTTTTATTCTGCCTGTGTCCTATCTTCACCTCAGCTCTTAATAACATTGCTGCCTGTACACCACACCTTTCTCACACCTGTGAATGATGGAAGCTGCTGCCTATTTGTGAATGATATCAGTCTCAACAACCCACCTTTACCACACCTGTTAATGACATCGTTTATCTTTATCGCAACTGTTAACAAAGTTCCTTACCTGTGCACAGGTGAGGACACATTCTTCAGCGATGCCTCGTACTGCTACCTGTACATCTCATGTTAAATGTACCCGTTAACAACATCACTTACTTTTATCACACCTGTTAATGGCATTGCTTACCTTTATCACACCTGTTAATGGTATTGCTTACCTTTATCACAGCTGTTAACGATGCTGCTTACGTTTATTACAGCTGTTAACGATGCTGCTTACCTTTATTACACCTGTTAACGAGGTTTCTTACCTGCGCGCAATGTCAGGACACCTTCCCTGGTGATGCCTCGTACCACCATCTGTACATCTCGCATTAAACGCACCTGTTAACAACACCACTTGCCTTTACCACGCCTGTTAATAACGTCACTTACCTTTATCGCACCTGTTAACAAGGTTTCGTACCTGCACGCAGGTGAGGACACATTCCTCGGCGACGCCTCGTACCGCTACTTGACGACGGATGAGATGAAGTCGCTAGGCGACGACTCCGTCATGCCAGACCACGACACCAAGCAGCAGCCGGGCGCTGAGTCGCCGCTCATTGCCAAGGAGCAGCGCGCCACACAACAGGCGGCGCCACCTAGCAAGATGGACCTGGAGAAACAACGCGAGGCAGAGTACAACCGCTACAACCAGAGGGTGAGTAGCGGATGAGCAGGGGTGAGGGAGGGGCAGGGGCGGGGCAGGGATATGGAGATGGAGGGAAGGGGAGGAGAAGAAAGGGGACAGGAGGAGAGGAGGGGGTGGAGGGCAGGATATATATATGTATATAATATATATATATAGCTACTTATTTATTTGTTTTTTGCTCATCAGGTGTATCAGCCTCCAGCTCACACGTTCAACATAGACAAGTACTCGGATATGCTTACCAGGATTCCTTCCCCGGGAGAAGAGAAACAGGAGCGGGAGTATCCCGAATATCAGGGAAAATTCGAACCGGACAACATTACCGTGGACCGCACGCCAGTTCACGTCGGGTAGGTCCACTCCACGATCTTCTACCTTGTAGCTCTCGTGTGACCTTGATATCTCATGTACCCTTGCTATCTCATGTACGCTTGCTATCTCATGTGACCTTTATATTTTATGTAACCTTGCTATCTCGTGTGAATTTTGATAGCTCATGTGATCTTGATATCTTATTTCCCCTTGCTATATCACTGACCTTGATATCTGAGGTGCCCTTGATATCTTGCGTGATTTTTATATCATGTATGGCCTTGATATTTCACGTAATCGTGATATCTCGTGTGACATCTCTGGTGTAACCCGTATCCGTTATTGCCACGCGAATTTCTGTGCCCTTTGATTTTCAGTTCATGTCTGTATGCGTTCATTAATATAATCCAAAGGTCGTGTTCCTGCCGTACGTTATTTATCAATATTAGGCAATTAATACGTGACTGAAAATTGATTTAAAAAGAAAAACATTTGAGAGGCAATAATTCTATTTGCAGGCGAAATAGTATGATCTAATATATATATATATATATATATCTTATTGAATTTCCACTTAAAATGCCACACTGTACGCCCTGTTTTCGGAATGAAATTGCTCGCTGGCTGAGTGTTGTCTAAGAGTATTGTTATATCGATTTATTGCGCTTGCTAACCTTGCCGCTAGATGGCGATGATATTAATAAAGCTTCTTCGTCCACGTGCTGTGTGCTGTATACATAATACTGGCATACTGCTACATTCAGTCCGTGAGCATTTGATCCCTTTGACAATGAATGTTATACCTGATGCGATATCTTGATATAGGTTAACATTTTATACAAGAAAGCCATTACTACCGCTTGAACTGTGTGTACTGTGACACTGATGTTTTATCCTATATATAACTTTTTTGGCATATTTTCTTCCTACACGCACTCGGCAGTATGGAATCGCTTTTTTCCGCACTGTGACGTCACCATAGATGACTCTATATTACTAACATATATGTTTTTTTCCATTTCTTTCACTGCCGCCAGTAGCAAGCTCAAATTTAAGTCGTAAGTACATGTTAATGTCACATCTCTTCGCAACCCTTGTCGCAGGCTGTAGAAATGCTAGTCAGGGTGGGGATGGGGGTGGATAGGTGAGTAAGGGGTGTGTGAGATGGAGTTAGTATTAGTGCGGCGCTGTTGACTTGGGTGGCTAGCTGCTAGTGCCTGTGGGTATGCACGCACACGATACAGACAGCAGGCAGAGTGCATTTACAGGACATTAGTGACACATGGGGGCCATATTGAATATTTACAGACAAGAGAACATGCGACAATGGGCGACTCCGCGTTCTAATATTTTTGTTTATAATATTATGATCTATTTACCTTCATTTTCAGGCAGGTTACAAACATAATCTTCCCCTCGCGCGGGATCGCGCGTTTCCCCCAGCTTCTGTTTTCCAGATAGATTTTAAGCGTATTTTTTCCTGTGTTTTGTATCGCAGAACGACATTCCAAGTTTTTGGTGAACTAGAACAAGAACATGGGATACAAGCGTGGGATACCATGTCAGGAAGGTGTGAACGCGGCGCTGTGAATGCGTGTATCGCTGCCAATAACAATGTGCTCGGCTAGAGAGTTTCTCTTTCAAAGCTCCTCCCCCATCCCCGCTTCATTCTCAGCCTCAATCCCCCCCCTCCTCCGCCGTCCGCTCGCTCGGGATTTTGTACCTGCTCCTTTATTATTGATATCAGGATTAGTTTCATGCGATGTATTTGCGTCGATGGCTGTAGTCTGCTTTTCTCTCTGCGTTCCCTACTGTGATCAGCATTGTCCCCATTCATCATCATCATCATCACCGTCATCGCCATCATCGTCACTATCATTTCCATATAATCCTTATCAGCACACATACTTTCTCGACGGTAAAACAGCGTTCATCAGTCATCGCATTATCCTCAGCGCTGCCATTAACCACAGCACTGCCATTATTCTTAGCATTGCTATTATCATTATTATCTTTATAATAGTCATAATCATCGTCCTCTCAGTCACAAACGTCATCGTAGTCGTCGCTATCGTCATCATTATCGTCATCGTCTTCTCGTCATCACAATATAATGTCTATCAGTATCAGCTACATTCATAATTCACTGCGATTCTGCTGGTTACACAATCCTAGTCATTAGTCCGTAAACGAAATCGCTCCATGTTTTATGTGTGTCTGTCCGTAGAGCTGCAGACTAATGTTTTTCGCATCCTTTATATTTTTGCTTTCACGTCTACTCCCGAGTCCCGCCTCCCCTGATATGTCTTCTTAAATCCTCACTGAATACCCGGCCGAGTTATAAAGAAGATAAGAGAAACTCACTAGCCTTGCACGATGTTGACTACTTTTCTACTAATCTACTTGCATTCGTTCTGTGCACATTAAAATGATGTACGACGATAGAGGAGTTTTTCACCCCACATTCTCTTCACGTTGCATACACTTTTTATTGGTTCGAATAATTTCGAGAAAATCTCTCCCACGGCGGCGTTCAAAAGAATCTTACTAATAACTTTCAGTGGATATATCTGTAGCAGTAGCTTCTGAGTGGTAGATTTTAATAACACCTAATACATCTAGCTGTGTGTGTCTGTATGTGTAATTTATTTTAGGTATGTGTGGTTTTCACGTCTGTAGGTAGAAGTTTACAGGTATAACAACACTCACGAAAGCTTATCCGGTAATGGGCCCAGGTATAGCTGTCAACTGAATCAGCAAACAGCGTGAGACAGCGTTTCTAAATATACCGTATTACATTAAAATCTAACGGCCATTTTTAGACTGACATCACACGTCCCCGTGGCCATGTCCACACGGTACAATTCCTGTGTGATATTCATGGAGTTAGTCTCTATCTTTCTGCTCACTTATACAAGCTAATGTTCGCTCTCGTTTGCACGCAGAGCTGCAAAGCAGCCCTCGGCTAGATCTGGGTAACGCTCCCTTCGATCGCATCTCTTTACTTCTTTCAACCCTCCCAGCAAGAGCAGTTTATTTTCCAACGTGTGTGCCACACGAGCACAGCCACACTGGCAATCACTGAAGCAGCATACTGACGCTGAGAGGGTCTATGTCCCCCAGGGTACTATCGGAGTGTACCCTGGGTACGGTTCGATATACCGGAACGTACCCTTGTACTAACTAATATGCCGGACCGTACCTCGCTTACTCCACCAACGAGTCTAGGGAGTCGCCTACGCCTACTCCCTAACCCTAACCCTAACCCTAAGTTAAACCCTAACCCTAACCATATCAGATAGTTACCATGCAGGGTACGTTCCGATATATCGAACCGTACCCAGGGTACCCTCCGATAGTACCCTGGGGGACATAGACCCTATGAGCCATACTGACCGTTATATATCCGAGTAGCTTTCGGAATGCAGCACCAGGTGGCAGCAATGCATTGGAATGGGAGTCATGAGTCAATCACTACACATAGTTAGTTCATCGATCACTTTCTGTAGCTAGAGATTATTTTATCAATCTATAGAATACGAGTGGAAATCACACGCAGCATCTTTTGAGTGCGCGCATGTTATTATCAGCACCAGAATAGGGCAGTTAGACGAGTTGGAAAGTTGCCTCTATTCCATTTACACCTCACCTCACAATAAATTACCCTGAAAATACTTCACTGCCTGGTGAAGACGGAGTCGATCAGCTCTAACTCGCTCAGCGCAGGGTATACATACATACGGGGTAATATCACAACAATTTGTCATTTCTTCTCATACTTTTCCTCTTCCTCTTTTTCTTCTCTCTCTCTCTCTCTCTCTCTCTCTCTCTCTCTCTCTCTCTCTCTCGCTCTGTCGAAAGTTCTCTCGCCACACACAGACAGACACACCCTTTCTTTCTCTGTAAATTCACATAGACGTTACTGAGTGACACAAGACTCACACGCTCACCATGGCACATTTACTGCAGTAATTCACGGTAAATTGTTGGGACAGGTGTGCGCATGCGCGGGTGGTGAACGCACATGTTGCGTATAACACATAACCGCTTGCATACCTAATAATATTAATAATATTAATAATAATAATAATAACCAGTGCATATTTTACCTGTGCCGTATATCGTTCACGGACGGTCAGTCCTTTTTCAGACAGCTTTGGTGAATTAAGATGATCACTGTAATTAGCACCCGTGAGATCCGCCTAGGGTTTGTGTCACGTAATATTCGTTGCGATTAACCGATGCCATTGTTGTGTTTAACATGTACTGCGTCTGTGTAATAATCTTGCCTGTGTGACGGGCAGTCCGTTAGTGTGTGTTAAGCATTGCTGTCTGTAGTTAATTCGAATTGCCGAGCACGCTGTAAATGTAGATTAAAAGTTTAAAGATTCTGATCGGTTTTGACATTTTTGCATAATTCTCTGTTTAATCCTGCTTTGTTTACAGGTACTGTGACATTTCGCGGTTGTCGGTCTGTCTATTTTTAGTGCCACCATTCCGTAACTGCGTGTGATGCGTGTGTGTATTATTTCTTATGTCACAATTACTTCTTATTGTTTACCACAAATCAATTTCTCTCTCCCCTCTCCCCTTTTCTCTTTCACACTTGTCTTTCCCTGCTCTCGCCCCTCTCTCTCTCTATCTCACTCGCTTCCTCCTCCCTGCCTTCCTCCCCCTACTGCCCGCCCTCCCCTCCCTCCCCCTCCCTCCTCGCCCCGCATTCTTCCCCTATTTCACCCATATCTATCGCCTCTCTCCCGTTTTCTCCGAGATTCCACGGAATATTCATCATAAACCTACATATTTTTCGAATGCGACACGATATAACCGCCATCAACTCGACGACAGACAGACAGACAGCCAGCTACAGGGGCAGTGCGCATATTTCCCATCGTTTAATGAATAGTATAATTTGATCAATTTTTTCACGAAGCAGGCTCTCACAACACACACATTTATTTGCCAGAAAAAATGTATGCCATATAACACACACACACACACACACACACACACACACACACACACACAGGTACACACA